AAAAAAAAAAAAAAAAAAAAAAAAAAAAAAGAAAGAGAAGGGAAACGAAGAAAATTCTATTTAGATAAAATAGGATCGATATTTTACATTCGATAATTGTTGACGCAAAATATAATTATTATATCTTAAAGCAGGAGGAGAAGCAATAAGCAAAAAGATACAACCGGTAAATATCGCGATTAAATTAGAATTATTCTCAACAACAAAAACCGATTATATCGTATAATTTTTATAATTTCGCCCAGTATTTAATCATTTTTAAATAATTTTTTTATGAGAAAACCACCATAACATGGATATTATAAATCGTGTCAATTTATTGAAACACGAATACTATTAGTCATTTAATATACCTAATGAATTGAAAAATGGAAGGAAGAAACATTTTATGATGATAATTAAGAACGATATGTAGTAATTATATATAGTTATTAAAAATTTCTCTAAATTTTCTATCATTGTATATAATTAATATTTTCATTTTATTACGTATTCTTCCTTTAATTTATTCAAAAGTAATATTCTATTTTATATCTTATCTATTTTATAATACGATTTTAATTTATCGTCAAAATCGTTTTTTCGATTATTTATATTATTTTATATCGATTAGATATAGAAATCAATTTATGTATACAAAAATATAAATAATTTTTTCTTAATTTATTCTTAATTTAAATCACAGTTTTTTTTATCAATTACAATACAATAATATTAATAAATATTTGAATAATGTTTTGTTCATATGATATTTATTTAAACTTATCCAACTATAATATAAACTATTCTTATATATTCTTTTTTTTCTTCTTCTTTTTCTTTTTTCTTTCAATTTTCAGAAATCATTAAATAATTAATGATTAATGATTATTATTGATTATCAAACTAACAATAAATATATGCACAAAGTTATTTTAACAATGTAAAATGTACGTATATTTAAATACACAAATGTCAGAAAATATATACGAATGTACATAAATATATTATACTTATATATTGTAGACATAAAGGTCGAAAAACGAAATGTAGCAAAAATAATATTTTAAGTTGATATACTTTCCATTATTGAATAAATTATCTAAATTTATCTAAATTTATTTATCATTTCAATTATTATATTTTTCGATGTTAAAGAGAACAATTTTTTTTTTTATAACTATTGAGACTCGGTCACGCAAAAATTCATTATCATATTTTTTTTTCAAATCAAATGTTCATTTCTATTAATAATATTTGCTTAATTTTACATATACAATAAATTTGACATTATCTACGATATTATAAAGAGATAATATTATAATAACTTTTTTTCACATTTGTGTTTTATAAATTTCTAAAATATTCATATTCATACAAATATTCTTGAAACCCTTAATGATACGCAATAATTATTTGAAATGATGATTTTTATATTATATATATAATAATATTTTACAAAATTTTGATTTAGTAAAATCTCAATAAAAAATTCATAATATTAATATTTAATAATAAAATGAAAAAGTAAAATAAAAAAAAAAAGACTATGAAAAAAAATATATGCGGATAAAAAAGGAAAGGAAAATAAAACAAATATGATATCGCAGAAAGATAAGACATGAAAAATAAGTTTAAAATGATGAAATTAAAAATATAAATTCTAGAAATTTTAGTAATTCTTACAAAAATAGTATTATATTTTTTCATTTTTTATATTGAATATTAAATATGAAATAGCATAAATTTTATACAAATTATGTTGAAGAAAAGAAGAATAAAAATAATGAAAAATGGTGAACAAAGAAAATTATATCCGTTAAGGGTTTCTTTAGAATAGAATTAAAGAAAAATGTATTTTACGATATTATTTATCGATATAATAAATTTTGTTGAATTTATTTGCTAAAAATTTTATTATATCTCTTCTGATATTGATTTATTACAATCTAAGTTAATTGAAAAATTACATGTTTCATATTATTTTTTTAAGTATGTTATAAATTGTTATAATTAAAAAAAGTACAATGTTTTTAT